CCGATTTGGAGGGGGTGAGAAGGCCGGGACGAGCGCAGCACGGCCGGGACGAGCGGTTCCAGAGCTTTTCCAGGCCCAAGAGGGCCTCAAGACGGGCCAAGAAGGCTCCAAGAGGCCTCCAAGACGGCCCACGAAGGCTCCGAGACGCCAAACGACGCCTCCAAGACGCCCAAGATGGCCCCAAGACGGGCCAAGAGGTCTCCAAGGCGGCCCCCGAGGTCCCATACAAGTCTCCCAAGAAGGCCCCAAGAGTCTAAAATTGTTGATTTTCCATGGTGTTCTTTGACGTTTTTTGCTTTTCCGCCTTTCCGGCTTCCCAACGCTCCAAGACGCGCGACGAGGCCCCAAAGATAGCCCCAAGATGGCCCCAAGAGGCCCCCAAGACGGCCTCCAGACAGCCCAGGACGGCCCCAAGACGGCCCAAGAGGTCCTCAAGACGGCCCAAGAGGGCCGATTTGGAGGCGGGGAGGGGGCCAGGACGAGCGCAGCACGGCCGGGACGAGCGGTTCCAGGGCTTTTCCGGGCCCAAGAGGGCCTCGAGACGGGCCAAGAAGCCCCCAAGAGGCCTCCAAGACGGCCCACGAAGGCTCCGAGACGCCAAACGACCGCTCCAAGACGCCCAAGATGGCCCCAAGACGGGCCAAGAGGTCTCCAAGACGGCCCCCGAGGTCCCAAACAAGCCTCCCAAGAGGGCCCCAAGAGTCTAAAATTGTTGATTTCCATAGTGTTTTTCGATGTTTTTGGCTTTTCCGCCTTTTCGGCTTCCCGACGCTCCAAGACGGACAAAGAGGCCCCAAAGACAGCCCCAAGATGGCCCAATATGCCCCCAAGACGGCCTCCAGACGGCCCAAGACGGCCCCATCACGGCCCAAGAGGTCCCCAAGACGGCCCAAGAGGGCTCCAAGACGGCACCAAGAGGGGCCCAAGAGGGCGACCAAACATGTTGAAACTCTAGCTTTCTGCCCCCAGGAGCCCCAGGGGGCCCCAAGAGTGCCCCAAGAGGCCCACAGAGGCCCTCACGAGGCCGCCCAGACGCCCCAAGGAACCCCCAAGAAGCACCCCAGAGGCTCCGAAACGGCCCCCGAGTGGCTCCAAAACTCGCAGTGTCGCTGTCCTCTCGGACCTCCCCGCGGAACTGCCCGAGACCCTCTGGCGGTGGCGGCGAACAGACACCAAACAAATATCACTCGCCTTTTCACCCCTTCGCAGCTTCTACTACCCCCAGATTGGCATAAACAAGGGGTCGGCGGTGTGGCGTAAGCCTAAGAATCCTTAGGAATCCTGATTCCTAGGGATTCCTGGGGATTCCTGAGGAATCCTAAGGATTCCTAAGGATTCCCGAGGATGCGTAACTATGCCTACGGATTCCTAAGGATGCCTACGGATTCCTAAGGATTCCTAGGGATTCCTAAGGATTCCTATGGATTCCTACGGATGCCTCAGCCTGCCTCAGTTTCAGCCTCAGCCTCAGCCTGCCTCGGCATCTGCCTCAGCCTCGGCCTCAGCCTGCCTCGGCCTCAGCCTCAGCCTGCCTCAGCCTCAGCCTCAGCCTGCCTCAGCCTCAGCCTGCCTCGGCCTCAGCCTCAGCCTGCCCCAGCCTCAGCCTCAGCCTCAGCCTGCCTCGGCTTGCCTCAGCCTCAGCCTCAGCCTGCCTCGGCTTGCCTCGGCCTCAGCCTGCCTCGGCCTCAGCCTGCCTCGGCCTCAGCCAGCCTCAGCTCCCCTCCTCCCCCCTCCCCCCCCCTTCCCCCCCCCTCCCCACCACCCACTCAGCCTCACATTGTCTCTCAGCTTCGGCCATGCCTCGGCCTCATCCTCAGCCTCAGCCTCAGTCTCAGCCTGTCCCGGCCTTGCGCCTGCCTCGGCCTCAGCTCAGCCTGCCTCAGCCTCAGCTGCCCTCGCCTCGCCGCACCTGTCTCAGCCTCACTGCCTCAGCATCAGCCTCAGCCTCAGCCTGCCTCGGCCTCAGCCTCAGCCTCAGCCTGCCTCAGCCTCAGCCTCAGCCTGCCTCAGCCTCAGCCTGCATCAGCCTCAGCCTCAGCCTGCCTCAGCCGCAGCTTGCATCAGCCTCGCCACAGGCTGCAGCCTGCCTCCAGCTTCAGCCTCAGCCTCTAGCCTGCCTCCGCTTCTCAGCCTCAGCCTCAGCCTGCCCTCGGCCGCAGCCCCTCTTGCAGCCTGCCTCGCCTCATATTCCTGGGTCGGGTTCTGGATGCATCAGGCCTCAGCCTCACCTCAGCCTCCTCAGCCTCAGCCTCAGCCTGCCTCAGCCTCAGCCTGCCTCAGCCTCAGCCTCAGCCTGCCTCGGCCTCAGCCTGCCTCAGCTCGGGCATTCAAGATATGGCACAGGACTGGTGTTCTGGGAACACGAACATCACGAAGTGGCCCACAGTTGGCTCTGGGCAATCAGAATATGGTACAGGAGTGGTGTTCTGCGAACACGGAGAACACGAAGTGGCCTTCAGTTGGCTCTGGGCATTCAAAATGTGGCTGGGAATGGTGTTCTGGGAAGACGAAGAACACGAAGTGGCCTACTGTTGGCTCTGGGCATTCAAAATGTGGCCTGGGAATTGTGTTCTGGGAGCACGAAGAACACGAAGACGAAGTGGCCTACAGTTGGCTCCGGGCATTCAAAATGTGGCCTGGGAATGGTGTTCTGTTGGCTCCAGGCGGTCAAAATGTGGCCTGGGAATGGTTTTCTGGGAGCACGAAGAAGACGAAGTGGCCTACAATTGGCTCCAGGCATTCAAAATGTGGCCTGGGAATGGTGTTCTGAGGAGACGAAGAACACGAGGTGGCCTACAGGTGGCTCCGGGCATTCAAAATGTGGCCTGGGAATGGTGTTCTGGGAGCACGAAGAAGACGAAGTGGCCTACAATTGGCTCCGGGCATTCAAAATGTGGCCTGGGAATGGTGTTCTGAGGAGACGAAGAACACGAGGTGGCCTACAATTGGCTCCGGGCATTCAAAATGTGGCTGGGAATGGTGTTTTGGGAAGACGAAGACCACGAAATGGCCTACAATTGGCTCCGGGCATTCAAAATGTGGCCTGGGAATTGTGTTCTGGGAGCACGAAGAACACGAAGACGAAGTGGCCTACAGTTGGCTCCAGGCATTCAAAATGTGGCCTGGGAATGGTGTTCTGTTGGCTCCGGGCGGTCAAAATGTGGCCTGGGATAAAGTTCTGGAAAGTCCCCGGTTTCCCGGGGGGGTCCCGGAGCACCCTGTCCGGATCCCGCCCAGACCCCCCTCGGGAGTCATGATGGTCTCTTTTGACCCTAAGAGGAGGAGGAGGAGGAGGAGGAGGAGGAGGAGGAGGAGGAGGAGGAGGAGGAGGAGGAGGAGAGGAGGAGTGAAGGAGTGAGGAGAGGAGGAGGAGGGCGGATGAGGCGGAGGAAGGCGGAGGAGGACTTGTGTAAACCCAAGAGTCATCACTCTGGAGCGCTTGACGCAGTCTCGCCTCCCCGGGCTGGCGTCAGCTCCAGACGGCCCAAAGGGGGCTCCCAGGACGGCCCGAGGGGCCCCCACGGGGGCCCACCAGGGGACCCAAGACCCCCCCCCCTCGGACGGGTTTCTAAACCCGCATCGTTTTTTGACGGTCCCGGGGCCCGGAGAGGGCCCCTTGAGGCAAATTGCGAGAAACCTCCCGTCGTGGTTTTGCCATGGCTCGGGGGCCTGGGGCCCCACGAGGGCACGACAAGACAAGACAAGACAAGACAAGACAAGACAAGACAAGACAAGACAAGAGCAGAGCAGAGAAGGCAAGAGCCCGCGCCAAGGCGCCTGCGAGGGTGCGGCGGGTGGGCACTGGGCTGGCCGCTCAGAGGCTGGAGCCGGGCACCGGGAGCCGGGGCAGGAGGCCAAGGCGGAGAAAAGGCCAAGAAGGCTCCAAGACGCCCAGACGGCCTCCCGTGCCTCCTCCTCCTCCCCCTCCTCCTCCTCCTCCTTCCTCCTCCTCCTCCTACTGCCTCCTCCTCCTCCTCTTCCCCCCCTCCTCCTCCTCCTTCTCACCTCTCCTCCTCCTCCTACTCCTCCGCCTCCTCCTCCTCCTCCTCCGCCTCCTCCTCCTCCTCCTCCTCCTCCTCCTCCTCCTCCCAAGACGGCGCCAAGATAGGGGCCGCAGTCGCTCCAGAGGGTGCTCCGGGGTGCTCCCCGAAAAGCCTCGCGGAAGAGCCGCCCGTGCCCCAGAGCGGCCCGGTCCTCACCTCAGCGCCGCGCCCACCTCTCGGACGCGAGGAGGAGAGGGAGAAGGAGGAGGAGGACGAGGAGGACGAGGAGGAGGAGGAGGAGAAGGAGGAGGAGCAAGAGGAGGAGAAGGAGGAGGAGCAAGAGGAGGAGGAGGAGGAGGAGGAGGAGGAGGAGGAGGCCTGTCCCCCTGCAGGGGGATCTTGGGCGAAAAATTCGAAAGACGCCCAAAACACACATCCAAAATGGCCAAACATAGTAGAATCATAGTCCCCAGGGCATCTTTTGACTGTTTTTGGACATCCCTCCTGTAGAGGGACGGGCCCGACATAACGCGAGTTGAATGAATGGGGGGCGATACGGTCGGACCTGGGCCAGAAGAGCATCCCTCCAGAACATGAGACCCTCCGACGGCCAAAACACACACACACAGAACATCCGAGGGCTCCCCTCCCCAGGCAGGATGCACAAGAACGTCCAACAAACACGAAGAACACCAGGGTACCCTCCCCGAACCGACCTCGATTCCACATCTCGGTCCGACTGTCAATTGGGGGGGGGGAGAAAGGTGTCCTTGTCGGACCCTGGCGGCCTCCTCTTGGGCCAGGACGGTCCCCTCTTCTGCAGCCCTCGCTGCCCCCCACCCTTTTACCGCCCCCCCATTTCGCGTCCTCCGAACCTCCAGGGCGAAACGGAGACCTTGGAACCACCGACAGCTAACCACGCCTCCGTCGCCGCCGCCATCGCCGCCTTCGCCGACGCCGCCGCCGTCGCAATCGCCGTCGTCGCGTCGTCGATGTACCCCGCTACCCCGCGCCCTCCAGCTTGGCGATGGCGCTCTTGGCCTCCTTGTCCTTGCGCTTCAGCAACGCCACCAGCGTGTCGCGCGGAATGTTCTCGACCGCGGCCAGATCGAGGTCCTGTGTTCCGCTCGCGCTCTCGTCCTCCTCCATTGCCCATCCATCGCCATCCTCCCCCTCCGTCCCCCCACTCCTCCCAACCACGGCTCCTTTTTTAACCTTCCGCCTCCCCGGCGCTACCTCCCTCCCCCTCGCCCCCCTCCCCCCCAGGTCAGATCGTCCTCCTCCATTGCCCATGCTTCGCCCTCCTCCCTCTTCCTCCGTCCCCCCCTCCTCCTAACCACGACTCCTTCCCAAATCCTCCTCCCCTCCTCCTAACCACGACTCCTTCGTAACCCTCTCCCTCCCAGGCGCCACCTCCCTCCCCCTCGCCCCCCCAGGTCCGATCGTTCTCCTCCATTGCTCGTCCTTCGCCATCCTCCCCCTCCCTCCGCCCCCCCCCTTTCTGGGGACGCAGACGCCGAGAAGGACGACGGAGGAGAACGACGACGAGGAGAGAGCCTGGCGAGGAGCACGGAGAGGGACGAGGAGGGGTGGGAGACACAGGCCAGGGCACGCCTCTCCTCCCCACCCCAAGCAGTCCTCCTGCCTCTGGCCACTCGGTCGTCGTCGCCGCCCCCGCCGTCGACTTCGTCGTCGCGCCCATCCTTGACCTCGTCGTCTGTCCTCCTCCTTCCTCCTTCCTCCTCCTCCTCCTCCTCCACCTCCTCCTCCTCCTCCTCCCCCTCCTCCTTGTCCTCCTTCTCATCCCCCTCCTCCTCCTCCCAGTCCCCTTCCTCCTCCTCCTCCTCCTCCTCCTCCTCCTCCTCCTCCTCCTCCCTCCTCTCCTCCCTCCCCTCCTCCTCCTCCCTCTCGGTCGGTCGTCGCCCTGCCCTCCCTAGCTTATATATTATCCTCTTGTCCTCGGTCCCTCGCCCCCCTCCGCCTCGTCCTCCGCCTTCATCCCCCTCGGTGATATGATGATATCCTCCCCGTCCACTCCCTCCTCCGTCTGCCCGCCCCTCCAACCAAAAAAAAAAGAAAAAAACAAAAAAAAAAAAATAAAAAAAAGGGGAGGAGGACGAGGAGGAATGCGAGAAGACGGGAGGAGAGCAGGAGGACGAGGAGGAGGAGGAGAGGACAAGGAGGACGAGGAGAAGAGCAGAAGGGGGAAAGTGAGGGGAAGTGCGACAGAGGGAGAAGGGAAGACAACGACGACGACGAAGACAAAAGTGACGACTACGGCGACGGCGACGGCGGCGACAAAAGCGGCGGCGACGGCGGCGACGACTGCGGCGACGGCGGCGACGCCGGCGACGACGGCGACGCCGGCGACGGCGACGGCGGCGGCGACCGCCGCCGACAGCGGCAGCGACGACATCGAGCGCGCGAGTGGGAAGCCAACGTGTCCACGCTCGCGCCGGCGCCCGATCCGCCGCCGGAGCCGCCGGCCGCCATCCTCGCCTGGCGCTGCCGGGCGCACGGCGACGACGACGGCGACAGCGAAAACAGCGTCGGCGGCTACCGTGACCGGCGCGGCGGCGACGGCGGCGGACGACGGCGACGACTTCGACGACGGCGACGGCGACGGCGACGATCGACGGTGGCGACGACCGTGACGGGCACGGCACCTGTGACGGCCGTGGCAAGCGCGACGGCGGCGGCGGCGGCGGACAGAGGCCGATGGGAGGCAGACTGGCGTCCAACGAGCCGCATGAGCGGACGTGTGCTGCACCATCTGTTCCTCCTCCTCCTCCTCTTTCTCCTCCTCTTCCTCTTTCTCCCTCTTCCTCCTCCTCTTTCCTCCTCCTCCTCCTCCTCCTCCTCCTCCTCCTCCTCTCCTGCACCCATCTGTTCCTCTTCCTCCTCCTCTTCCTCCCCTGTCGCTCGATCTGCCCCGCTTCCCGGCCTGGCCCCTCTGCTTCTCCTGGAGCGGGGGTGTGGGGGAGGGACTAGGAGAGGGGAGGGAGGAAGGGAGGAGGGGAGGGGAGGGATGAGGAGAGATGGAGAGGGGAGGAAAATAAGGGGAGGGAAGACGAGAGCAGACGGAAGGGAGGGGACGGCAGTGGAGAGGGCCCCTGCATGGACGGACGGGGTCGGAACGGGAGGAACAGGAGATCCGCTCATCCCAGCGGAACCACTTCCCGCATTCCCCGACGTCCCCCTAGCGTTCAAGCGAGTGCACGTGCGCTGAGTCCTTGTGCAGCTCCGCTCCTGGTCTTGACTGCACTGCCTCTGGAAAGAATCCTGATCCTGACTTCTGTCGGCCCCGCCTTGGCGCGCCAGTGCGCAGTCCATCTAGGGTCTGAACCGAAACAGCAGCGTTATGATGGCGTCCTGCGAAAGATAGGCAGCATTCCTGCTCCTCAACATGCATCGGGCCCTGGTGACATCCTCTCCTCCAGTGCACATCGAACGGGACAAAAAGGGAGAGAGAGAGAGAGAGAGAGAGACAGAAAGACACCGAGAGGGAGAGAGAAATCGAGGAGAGAGACAGAGAGAGAAGGAAACAGCAGCAACAATAACAACAACTACAACGACAACAGCAGCAACAGCAACAGCAATAATCACACCAGCAACAACAACAGCAACAACAACAGCGCCAAAACCACCAATAGCAATAGCAGCAACACCAACAGCAACACCACCACCAACATCAGCAACAGCAGCAGCAACAGTACCGTCACAAACAACAACACCATCAACAACAACAATCACAACACCACAACAACAACAGCAACATCACAAACAACAACACCACCACCAACAACAACAACAACAAACACAAACAAACAAACAAACAAATAAACACACAAACAAACAAACAAACAAACAAACAAACACACAGCAACAACAACAACACCAACAACACCACCAACAACAACAACAATTACTAGCACGTGGGGACACTCCGTTCTCACCAGTGCCAGGGTTTTCATAGGAGGCGGGCAATACCCCCACTTTGTGGGGGGTCCGGTTCAAGCTCTACCAAATTTCCAAACGACTCTTCGCCACCACCCACACCCAGCTTCCCGCCCTATGACGTTCGGACACTTCACTTCGTGGCATGCGGACGACCGTGCTACTATTCAGGGCCCCGCGGCCGACGACGACGGCGTGCGCGCGCGAAGAAAAAACGAATGTGTCCCGCATGGTATTATTTGACAGGGATGATGGCCCTGGCAGGTGCGCAACCGTGGTTGCAGAAGTTCGAAAAAGTTGCTCGCAAAAGCCCGTTTGACAGAAATGATTAAAAAGTGTTGGGTTTCCTACGAATCCGCAAGAGCGCGCGGGATGAAATGTTGACCATTTTTTTTTTTTTTTTTTTTGAAAACCATTGGTTTTTTTGAAATGTGCGATGATGAGAGAGAAGCGTGATCCACCGCCGCGTTATGTGGAAATTGCCAACCTTTTCCTCCGGAGCCCGGGGGTCGCCCCCCTCTCCCCCCCGTCCGAAAATATCTCCCCTCCCTGTCGTGTGAACCCCTCCCCCCCCCCCCCCCTCTCCCCGGCAAAACCCCCCCCTTCCCCTAACCCCTCCCCCCCCCCACCCCCCCCCTCCCCGCTCGAAAACCGGGGGGGTCCTACGCGGTTCGAAACCCTCCCCCCCCCCCCCCCCCCTTCGGATCCTGAAAAAACGGGGGGGTCACTACCGGTTCGAAACCCCCCCCCCCCCCCCCCCCCCACCCCTCTCACCGCCAGCAAACGACTCCCGGCCCCCACCACCGTCCGCATCACATCCCCCACTGGTGTTCCCAGCACCACTGTCCTCACCACCGCTGTCCCCACTGGTTCCACCACCGCCCCTACTGTCCCCACCAGTGGCCCCACCACTGTCGCACTGTCCCCGCTGTCCCCAGAACTGTTCCCACCACGGTTCCACTCCCCACTGTCTCCACGGCCCCAACCACTGCCCGACTATCCCCACTGTCCCCACTGTCCCACTGACTCCTCCGCTGTCCCACTGAGCTGTCCCACTGTTCCCACCACTGTCCCCACTTTCCCCACCACTGTCCCCACTGCACCTCTGTCCCATTGTCCCACCGCCGTCCTCGCCACCGCCTTCACCACTGTCCCCACCACCATTGTACCCTCCACTGTCCCACTGTTTCCACCTCATTCCCATTGTCCCACACCACTGTCCCCACCACCACCGTCACCACCACTGTCCACTGTCCCCCCCTGTTCCCACCATTGTCCCCACCACTGTCCCCACCACTACCGTCCCCACCACTGTCCCACTGTCCCACTGTCCCCACCACTGTCCCGCTATCCCCTCGCCACTGTCCCCACCAACACCGTCCCCACCACTGTCCGCACCCCCACTCGGTTTTCGAGGGGGGGGGGGAGGGGGGGTTCGAACCGGTAGTGACCCCCCCCCTTTTCATGATGAACTGGGGGGGGGGGGAGGGGTTCGAACCGGTAGTGACCCCCCCCGGTTTTCCGGAGGGGGGGGGGGGAGGGGTTCGAACCGGTAGTGACCCCCCCCCGGTTTTCCGCCCGCAGCGGTAGAACACGCTCTTTCTTATATTAAGAAATCGCTACGAAAACTAAGTTTTTGGAAGGATTTCGTCTTGCGCGCGCGAATGTCCACTTTACCTTATCTTTTGCAAGGGATTCTTGAAGTTTGGTTATGTTAGAACAAGAAATGTCCACTTTAGCTTATTTTTTGCAAAGGAAAACCGATCGTAACAACACAACCGGATCCGGACTCCCCCGTTTTGCCTGAGACTTCCTCACGAAAATGATGAAAATGAGGCTGCGGCCTAGGCGCGGCGGGGGGGTCGTGCACCAGGGGTCCCAACAATAATTATTCTTTAGAAGTAATAATGTTCAACAACAGCACCAACACCATCAACAACAACAAACACAAACACAAACACGCATACCAACACACACACACACGCACACACACACACGACAACATCAGCATCAACAACATCAACAACAACACCACCACCAACAACAACAAAGACGTTACCCACATGCGCCATGCTTCCTCACGCAGCATGCGACCATCATGATAACCATCCCCGTTATGGGAGATTTTTGTTCTATCGCAGGGGTCCGTTATTCCCATTCCCAGGTCTCCCACCCAATGAGGTCTTGCAAACACCTCCTACGAGGAATTTCAACATAACCCGCCTCGAAAACACATGCCCGAGCCCTGCTGCGCCAATGCGAGACCGCCAGTGGAGCCCCAGCCAAGGGTAAAGCACAAGGAAGTATGGAGCGACAGGATTGGCTTGGTGGGGATGGGGGCTGTCGGCGGCGAGGCAAGGACCTGGCCCTGAAAAGAAAAGGAAGAAGCCTCGAGCAGGGGTGCTGTTGTTGCTGGGAGCGGCGCCAGTGCAGACGAGAGTAGGGCTCTAGTCCAGCGTGAAACAGCACGAAGTCTCTAGCGGGAGCGCTGGTTCTATTGGGACGGCGGTTGTCGGCGGCGAGGAGGAACACCGCCTTGAGTAAGAAGGGAGGAAGTCTCGAGCGGGAGCCGCGGTTTTGCCGGGACGGGGCCTGTCGGCGGCGAGGAACAGCACCGTCTTCAGGAAAAAGGGAGGAAGCCTCGAGCGGGAGCGTTGTTCTTGCTGGGGGCGGCGCCAATTCGAAAGAGAGTTGGGCGCCAGTCCAGCGTAAAACGGGAAGAAGTCTCGGGCGGGAGCGCTGGTTTTGCTGGGGCGGCGGTTTTCGGCGGCGGGCAAAAGCACCGGCTCTGAGTGAAAAAAGAACCAAGTCTCGAGCGGGAGCGGTGTTCTTGCTGGGGGCGGCGCCGATGAGAGAAAGAGTAGTGCGCCAGTCCAAGGTAAAACAGGAAGAAGTCTCGATCGGGAGCGTTGGTTTCGTTGGGGCGGCGGTTTTCGGCGGCGAGCAAGAGCACTGGCTCTGGGTGCGGGATCGTCGTTGTTGTTGGGGGGTCCGTTTTGGCGCCACCCCAAACCGCTTGAGCGTGAGCCTCATTTTCAATGAAAATGCAGCCAACGCCGAGGCGAGAGCGCCAAGGCGCCTGGGGGGGTCCAACAAAATTGTTTAGAAATCAACAACAACAACAACAACAACAACAACAACAACAACAACAACAACAACAACACCACCACCACCAACAACAACAACAACAACACCACCAATAACAACAACAACAACAACAACAACAACAACAACAACAACAACAACAACAACAACCGCAACAACAACAACAACAGCATCAACAACAACAACAACAACAACAACAACAACAGCAACAGCAACAGCAACAGCAACAGCAACAGCAACAGCAACAGCAACAGCAACAGCAACAGCAACAGCAACAGCAACAGCAACAGCAACAGCAACAGCAACAGCAACAGCAACAGCAACAGCAACAGCAACAGCAACAGCAACATCAAC